CTTTACTCAAACCCCTATTCCTTCGGTTTTTCAGTCATTCATTAACAAAACAATCATTTACTCGTAGGTATTTCTGTGTTATAACTTTGTCACATAGATTTACGTACCATCCCAGGTTAAATATAGTGAATGCGGATGTAATTATAGAACTCATATTATATATTACATCCATGATGATGATGATAATGAAATATTCAAACATGTTCGAAAATAACAGTATTACTATATGGAAATTGAATCTAGGCATAACTTGTTAAGAAAAATTTATAAGAAATTGTCTCGTACGTTATAATACCGTTATCAGGTAACGGCATTAGTATTAAAAGAGATTCTCGGAGATCACATAATTTAATTTTAAAATTAGATTTTCTCTACAACAAAAAATGATAATTTTAGATGTTGAAGACCTGAAATGAAAAGGTTAATTAAGCAGCTAATAGTTTTAAAATAACTGTTTCTTTTGAATTTTTTAGTATTTAATTTATACTACGAAATATTATGACAATGAAAACAGTATAGTGTGCGGTTATCGCTAACAGCAATTACTTTCTTAAACTTTTAAATTGGACCTTTAAAATCAAAATTATATGTAAATGTGTGTAAGAATGTAAAATAGGAATAAACGCCAGCCTAAGGGTCCTACCTTACCTCACGGCGTTTACAAGTACCACGTACCAAGTACGGGCCGATCTAACTTTCAGCTTCGACCCAAGTTTTGGTCGAAGCCGGAAGTTTCTAGTAAGCATCGACATTGCAAAATCTATTGCGATTTAGTACTTATAAATGCATTAGAGGGTGGCGAAAGAAGCAAGCAGGAGGGCAGGGGTCACATTTTGTTGTGCCTATTGGCCACCATGGCCACGCTTTTGTAACTAGCCGAACTAAAAAGTAGAAATCATTTTTATCGTAAAACGCACACGCGCATTTTTACGATAAAATGATTTATCTTTTTGAAGTTATAGAAAATTATTTTTACTACTTTTAGTTCGGTTAGTTACACAAGCCGGTTTTTTAGTTTTTTTAAACGAAAATTTATTTTTGTTTTTTAGTCATTAATGATGATTATTTTCTCATTAAGACTAAAAAAGTAACAAGTAAGTAAGTCACATATGCTTCAGCACACGCCTCTTAGTACGTAGCAAAAGATACTACCGTATTTTTAGGTTAAAAAAAGCAGGTAACCCTGAAGATCCTGAAAATTTTAAATTATTGTGTTATCATCGGTCCTTGATCAATATAGTTTCAATTTACTTCGACGTTGTGAAATGGATCAACATCACGTTCGAAGATTTAGTTACGTACATACATGCATAGCCAACCAAGCTTATACTCGTACAAGCGTTTTAAAGAGAAGAGAGACTGTTAAATACAAATGTGGTATGAAAAAAAAAAAGTATACGGCTTCGGTTTTTAGCGGTTTGGGCGATGGCTTATTAATCGGCTTCGGTCGAACACTAATCGTAAAGGAAACCACCTCGGTGATGTCAGATTGTGCATTGTGTGAGCGGAGTTATTCGTATACCTACATAACTGGGTAACAGTTACCTATGGTTTAAATAAACTAATCAACGATGCCTGAAATGTGTCAATTTAAAATAGTATTACAAGTTAATGATTTAATGGTAGCAAAGCACCTATGATGTCAAACTTCGTTGGTATCAATCTTCTTTTTTTCTAGTACAATTTCTATTGTACCTATCGTTTTGAGATTTATTATAGAGAAATTAATATGACTTAATAATAATAATTTATCTCACACATCTCACATACGGCCATCTGATCCCAAACTAGGCAGAGCCTGTACTACGGTAACCAGACTGCTGATAAACATATATATATATACATATTATAGCAACCAGACGCAGAAATAATGACTATGCTCATCACACAATATTTGTCCTGGGTGGGAGTCGTACCCACGACCTCCGGTTTAGCAGTCAGGTCACTATACCAACAGGCCCGACTTGACAGTTAACTAGTGTATTGTATGGACATTAGTATATAATTGAGTAGATTAGACCACCTACAAGTTTCGGTTAATCTCTGATATGTTATGTATTTAACCATTTCGAATGGTAGTGGTGAGCTTCTTCGCGGGGGTCGACATTCTTCTATAAATAGCGTTTAAATATCTAAAAATAACATTTATTGGACAAGAACACGGACGCCAGGAAGAAAAAGGACATATCAGACTATTTTTTAAATTATTGAGATAAACGTATTCAATTTAAAAATATTGTTTTAAAAATCTACTTCTTGGTAGTCATCAGTATAGATAGAAAATCAATCTCTGGGTTGTATAAGTCTTTTAATAAATAGTTTAAACATTTAGCAAACTAGCAGATTGCTCAATCGATGTTAAACGGTAACATGAACCTGTAACCTGTAAAAATCTATTGTGCCCACGCTCCTCAGAAACTTATCGACAAATATATCCAACGACCATTTTTTTCTTTCTTTTTTTAATTTTGTCATCATATCTCTACAACAATATATTACTAGTAAGAAATTAAACTGTTCCTTGACCGGGTCCTTTTATTCGACGATTTGGAATCAAACATTTTATCTCAGCATCTTATAAAGATGTGGAATGCAGTAAAAGTGTTGATATTCGAAGAATTCGTCTTAAATTATTGATAAACAGCTAAAGAAATAAAAGATTAAGTTGTAATGATAGCATGCACTGTTGAAATCATTGGTTAACGAGTAGGTATAATATTGGGTTTTAAAATCTAATTTGAAGCGTTAGATACACTAAAAAATTATATTAATATTAGATTATTTTCTGTAATGAGCCCAGGATGAAGTATTACCTTACTAAATAGTCACCAAATGAACACCGTATGTACATCGTCACGAATGCTAAAGAAACACTTTTCTTGTATATTTTATTCACAAAGTAAATATTGGCAACCTCGGTAATTCTCATGGTACAAAATGGAGATAGGCTAGTTTGCTTTCTCTTACCGCTTATAATATGTATAAGGAGCCGATTCTTTGTCTAGTTATCGTTTATTTAATTTGTGTTAGACATAATATCCATTTTTTTCCGCGTACCGGAAGACGCAGCGTGGGTAGGCCCCCCACAAGGTGGTCCAATGACCTGGTGAAGGTCACGGGAAGCCGTTGGATACGGGCACCATAGGACCGGTTGTTGAGGCGAACCTTGGGGGCGGCCTATGTAGAGCAGTGGACGTTTTCCGGACGAGATAATGATGATGACGATAATATCCACAGAAATAACCAACCATATCGTTCTTTAGTAAATGACTAAGCGCAATAATTGTAAAGAATAAAATATAGACCTTTCCTTAGAAAAATGTGCTTGAGCTGTATAAATAAACCTTATTTAGAGTTAACTAAACGGCGCTAACAGACATAAACCCGCCCATATAGCTATTAAATTAACAAATTAATACTATTGTGGTAAGCGGTACCTGCGGATTCCTGCAAATCGTAGGGTGAACAAAAAGCGCATAGCTCACGGTGCATAGATAAATACGCTTCGTATCCCAATTTTTTCATCGACATAAATATTGTTTTTTCATATATGTGTAACGGCTTTGTGCCGACACGTCGAGATTCATTTCTGGGAAGTAGTGATGTCGCGGCGCCGCTTCTTGCTCGGCTAATAAATAAAAGGCTGCTTGGGAAATATTATGTTACGTCTTAGGATGTTTTTTGGGCGAGTGGGTGCTCCAGCGCGGGCGGTAGCGACGCGGTGTGGTCGGCCGCCTTTAGCCACTCGAGCCCGTGTAATGGGGCGGATTTCACTATTTATTTTTAAGAAGATTACTAATCCGTTATCTCCTTTAATCAGCTAACTACATTATATAAAAAGATGAATAGACATTAATCTCTTTTAGTATCTAGAAATGACGCAATTTTAATATAGGTATACATTATTACAGTGTGTAGCATCGGTATCAAATTCAAAATATCTTTATTTCATAAATAAATTAAAATTGTTTGAAATCGTCTTTTATGTAGACTCTAAAGTCGTAGATCAATACACACACAATAGCAACAATCTCTGTTGTCTGTCAAATAGTAAGGAAAAAATAATTATTAAATATTATAAAAAATTAAATATTATATAAATATTAAATATTATAAAAAAATTACGCTTATACAAAATCTATGATATGCCTGTGCCGATCCACAACCGCCTGTTTCCAAGGGGTTGAGCCTTGTGAAAAGAAAGGGTAAACAAACTCATGGCCACTCTTTTGCAATTTACACATAAATGCAATGGCATCATTAAATATACCACAACATTATTCCGATGTGTGCCAGTATGTCCGTTCTTAAGGATTAAAAAGTAATAAGACAATAAAGAGAAAAATAAGAATAGGAAAAAAGATCAAATACAAGAAAAAGTGAAGTGAAACGTAAAAAATAGAAAAAAACAACAATTAAAAACACCCTAGCCCAATCACATTTCCACTTACGAAATAGCCTGCGCTAAATTATTCCCAAGCATTTTTGTCTTCTATGTAATCCACATTGAGTAATAGGCTTTCTGACATAATTATTTTATTATAAAATCGGACACATTGAACTCGAAACGACTTGTTTATCTTTTGGAGCCTAGAGGCAGGTAGGGTAGACCGAAGCGAATCGGATCACAGGGCGAATCGGATCAAAATAAGAAATCTGTTGATAATTCAAATATCGCATTCACATACAACGCACTCAACCGGCGTTTTGCGTCTCTCCATTTACCCCGCACCGCCCGACATAAGCAGTATTTCGATCGCGCTTGTGAATCAGTGGCGACGCCGCTTTTTAAATATTGTTAAGCAAGGTGTTTATATTATCGAACCAATTCGCTTTTAAGTAGAATCTTAGAGGTTAACGTCTAAAATATTTATTTCAAAAGTCTTGATTATGGAGCCCCATATTGGATTGGATCATATCGTCAGGGGCGAATTGGATCATACTTTTAAACTGATTTATTACATGTTTGAGGTTATTGATTCATATTTATTTCATTGTAGATGGTTCGCACGTACAAAAGAAAGACTGATGCCGGAGAATGGTCTCAAGAAAAAATGAAAGAGGTTGTAAATAAAGTCCAGAGCCAAGAGTTGATTGAAGCTGCTAAGATTTTTACAGTACCGTTCACGAGCTTACAGAGAAGAGTCACTTTATCCAAGGGTATTATTAAGCGTCGAGGTGGACAGCCAGCTTTAGATGAGAACGCAGAAAAGAGGTTAGCTGACTGGCTATTGCACTTCGCAAGTCGTGGCTTCGGAATTACACACGAAGCGGTACGTAAGTACGCGTTTGAATTTGCCTAACGTCAAAACGTACAACAGACAGAAGTGCTGGAATGGCTGGTCAGGACTGGTTTCATCGTTTCATACAAAGAAATAAACAATTAACTATTCTTAAGCTAGTCTGTCAAGAGCAAGGATTGATGGTATGAAGGAGGAAATAGTAGCAGAATTCTTTAATACTTTGAAAACAGTAGTAAATAACAACAATTAAAGAGGAAGACCTGAATGTGTATACAATGTTGATGAAACGGGGATGCCGCTCAATAACCGCCCACCCAACATTATAGCCTAAAAAGGTGCTAAAGATGTTGTCAGCATGACCAGTGTTGAACGAGGTGAAAATGTAACCGTTCTAGCCTGTATGAATGCAGCAGGACAGTCCATACCTCCATTTGTTCTATTCAAAGGTGTGCGTAAACGTGGCGATTTTCTCCTAGGTATGCCACCTGGTACTGAAGTTGCCATGACAGAAAAGGGCTGGGTCACCGAAGAAGCTTTTAAGTTGTGGCTGCAACATTTCAATCGCCACCGGACCCCAGGAATAGTAGTTCTAATTTTGGATGGACATGCGTCTCACACCAGCTACTCAGTGGTAGACTTGTGTGACTCTTTCGAAATTGAACTTGTACTTCTTCCTCCACATAAGTACATCACATGCCCTGCAACCGCTCGATGTATCGTTTTTCAAACCGCTCAAAACCTATTATCACCAACAATGTAGCTTGTTGGTGATAATAGGTTTTGAGCGGTTTGAAAAACATGGCAACATTCACATCCGTATCAAGGAATCACAAAGGTCACTTTTGGAGCACTTTTCCAACGGGCTTGGAATCAGGCTGCCACTGTTGAGAATGCTACAAAAGGCTTCGAAAAGGCTGGAATATTTCCACTAAACGCCAATGCAATACCTGACCACAAGTTCATCGGTGATAAAGAGTCGGACGTTGTAGAGTCCCAAGTCCAGACCCCAAGTTCAAAATAAATGCAGCTACAAGTACAAGCCACAAATACACAACTAGTAGCTGATACAGTGCCATCTGCAAAATCACGGCAGTCTGACAAAACCCAGTCTTCCACCTGTGCAGATGAAGACAGAAAGAAGATGAAGAATAAAGCAACGCCTGGGATAAAAATTAAGAGTATATCAGCAAAGCAGAGAGAGTGTCAAGTGCCCCAAGTCCAATCCACGAGTTCCCAACAGGTGCAGCCACAAGACCAATCCTCAAGTGCAGAACAAGTGCAGTCAAAAATAGAGGTAAAAGTCCAAGCCACAAATACAAAACCACTTGATAATATAGTGCCATCCACAAGTTCGCAACAATCTGACGAAGTCCAGCCTCCCACCTGTGCAGAAATAATTAAAGAAATTCTCCTATCACCTTTAAAGTCACCAATTGCTTCTAAGAGGATTCGTAAAGTTTTAAAACTGGTCTTGCATTTAACACACCTCAGAGTAAGACTACTCTTCTCGAAAAAGAAACAAAGAAGAAATTTAAGATAGAATTTAAAGCCAAGGAAAATAAGAAAAAGGCTGTGGGCAAAGAAAATACTATGAAGAAGATGAATAATGAAGCAAAGTCTGCGATAAAAATTAAGAGTTCATCTCTAAAACAGAGAGAATGGCACTGCATTTACTGTTCCGAAATATTCGTTCATCCACCATCAGAGGATTGGATTCAGTGCAATGCTTGCGAAGAATGGTGCCACGAAAAATGTGCTTATAAGGGGGGAAAAAAGGATTGTATAACACTTTAGTATGATTTGCTCAACCTCAAAGAAAAAGTGATCCGATTCGCCTCGGTCTACCCTACTACAAGTTTATTTCTATTTCTGGTATTTATAGAATGTTTATCACTTTTTTCAAAAAGCTATCCTTGTTTTTATGAGTATGTCATATTTATAGTATGTCATAGAGGCAATGGTTCTTCAATGCCACCTATAAATTGTATTTTATAACCACAGCTGTACAATGTTTAATCTGCAAATGTTGGTAAAATTGCTGTTATTTGAATTTGAAAATTGAAAAGTGTTCTCCTTATAAATAAAATAGGTAATTATCTAATGAATTATATAACTTTTGCTATTAATCAATACTGCTCAAGAACCACTTAAAATTAGTTTTTACAGTTTGAATAGCACCCTGATTGAATATGATAGATGTTTCGTCAATATAACATTCTAGCTTAGTCGCATTTTGTCACTAGAGTAATCGGTATGTGACACACACTGAATACTATGTGACATTATAGTAATTGAGACCCATTATTATCTTAGTAGTAATGCGTATAAAGGTTTACTGATAGTAACCTATGCTTAGTTTACCGTTTTTACTTACCGACGCAGAGGTAACGATAACGCTACAGCTTCGCTAAGATTGCAGAGTTTACCGCCGGAATAAGTTTAAGTTTACATTATAGCCATAAGCATGTTTACAATATAAATAGGCACAATATAAATAGACAGGTACAATATAAATAGACTTTTAATACCTTCATTTTATTTGGATACTACTTCTATAGTTAAACCGCCGTAAGCTTGGCCCTCCTCATGGTTTGCGGGGCGCGGGGCGGGTGATGCGCTCGGCTATACATGACACGATGTACTAACTCGATATCTTCAGATTTATTTGTTTGAGATTTAATCTACACACGATATAATAAAAATCGAATTTATTTCCATGTATTATAATGTCAGTGTATTGTAAGTTTTTATGATTAATTGTAAAATTTAATACTGTAAAATAATTTTAATAAAATCACCTTATCTTCATCATGTAAATTATATTCAGATACAATTTAAAAATTAAGTAAAAAAATAAATACTCCTTATTAGAACTTTAACAGTAGAACCTCTGTAAGCCGAACTTCAAGTTTTTAAATCTTTTTGTGACGCAGAGTCGGCAGATTATCCATGTTGTAAAATAATACCGTGTGTAGCAGTCTTAAGAAAAATAACACGTACAGCCATGCTTTCACGTCAGTCACTGCCGGCGGACAGCGACGCACTAGCTAATAGAGAATGTGCATGTATTTTTTTATTTTTTTAAACGATTCTACTAGTTATTACATTACCAAAAATAAATATAACACATCCGAAATATAAACCGTTAAGCAAAAAATTTTTTATTAATATCACTATCATTTTGGGGCAATTTGAACACGTCCATTTTGGCGCGCTTTTTTTGTGACGTCAGATTACACTTTCAGACGAATTCGATGTCAACAACGGAGTGAAGTTCACAAAGTTTGTGAAAGTTAAAAAAGTGAGTGATATAAATTAACTTATTACCATGGAAAAGCCAATAAAAACTTATTATAAATATTGTACCGTTCCTTTGTGCCAAAATAATATCAAAACTGCACCTGACAAAGTATATTCAGTCATTGTGTTGAGTCTTTCTACACGGGAATTCAATAATTTAACTCTGAAAACGTATTAGTTATTAACTTAGAATGAAACAAATAATCACCAGAAACCAAATATTACAAATACACACAACTTGTGGACACTCTTGACAGTGTAGGTTGACGTCACGTTTTATTCAACCAATAGCGTTGCGTTTTAGAAATTTGCAAGGGAATCTTAAAAAAAGCCAATTTTTGATGAATAAATTTCACTATTAAATTAAAATAAATTTTAAAAATAATAGGGAATATGCACGTGACACCGAAATGGACAAAATATTTTTATATGTAATTTTTATTGCTAAAAAAGATACCCATACAATTATTTTTGAAATTTATTATAATTGACTGAATATACTTTGTCAGGTGCAGTTTTGATATTATTTTGGCACAAAGGAACGGTACAATATTTATAATAAGTTTTTATTGGCTTTTCCATGGTAATAAGTTAATTTATATCACTCACTTTTTTAACTTTCACAAACTTTGTGAACTTCACTCCGTTGTTGACATCGAATTCGTCTGAAAGTGTAATCTGACGTCACAAAAAAAGCGCGCCAAAATGGACGTGTTCAAATTGCCCCAAAATGATAGTGATATTAATAAAAAATTTTTTGCTTAACGGTTTATATTTCGGATGTGTTATATTTATTTTTGGTAATGTAATAACTAGTAGAATCGTTTAAAAAAATAAAAAAAATACATGCATATGCCCTATTGTATGGGGATTCTTTTTTTAGCATTAAAAATTACAAATAAAAATATTTTGTCCATTTTGGTGTCACGTGCATATTCCCTATTGGTTGAATGCACCCCCGCCCCGCGTCCCCCAAGCCATCAGGAGGGCCAAGGTTACAGCGGTTTAACTATAGTTCATATTGCTCACACTATCTGAGACTCGATGTATGTACGTGAGATGCCTGGTAATCTGTCTGATAGGATCTTCCTAGTTCAGATACCAGTCTCTCACAAAGGTAAACAATTAATATTTTGTAACGAACTATAGATTTTAAGTTAATCTTTGTGAAGGAAAATAAACATTATTATTTTTAAAAAACAATATAAATAAGCACGAGTTCATACAAGTCTGGCAATGTTTAATTGATAAAGGAACCCTGTCGAGCTCGAAATTATTCAGGCTACCCTTACGCACGTGAGTACAACACTATATCTTTAATGAAAATAAGAAATGCTAATTAAACGAATATTATTCGTAGCTGTAATAGATACAAACGTGTCATACAGTCTTGGTAGCAGTATGTACTACTCGTACGTATTAAATGGAATATAATGAAAAATATCGTATATCTTTTTTTAAGAAGCAATCAGTGAACTAGCACAAATGCTTTCAACCGTGTAGCGACTTAAAGAGGAAACATATTACAGCGCCATCTGAAGAATACACACCGAACTACGGAATAACTGCTAATCCTGTATCTCGATATGAGTAATTCGCACGCTGATTAGCATATATGCAACTTCCCAACATCAACCGTGGGGCCGTGGCCCGCTAGGCATGATCAACTCGCCTGGACGGACGGGAGGATCCTCCCTTTGTGTTAGATTGACATGACACCCGTTTCTCCACAACCATAAGATTTACTTAATTTACACAACAACATCTATAGTAAAATGGTAAAAAAAACAATAACCTTAAAATTAATAGGTTAGCAAAAATTAAGTTTAGTTAAAGGAGAAAATAGAATCATAAAAAAGTGGAACAGAAGTGGAAACTCAAAACAATGGAACTACACGACGCTAGTCTCCCGCGATACGTCACCATCAAGTCGAGGTCATCGGAGACGCGAACCCGTAAGTTTTTCAAAAAACAATGATATTTTAAGGTATCTTATTTGAATATATTTTTGTTTATTTATTTATGTGTACATATATATTATCTATTGTTTGTATATAATATCATTGGATAAAAACAATCTTTGAAGCAGTTTGTATATCGTGTCAAAAAATTTCGAGAACAGAACTTTTCCAGTTTTTAAAGCTCACACAAACTAACTTGACATTTTTATACTTATACTATATACGAGTAGATTTGATACCGTCAGTACCTATAAATTGTCAACAATACCAGTACTTCATTATTTTAATCAATTTGACATTTTGTTAAATTGATTATACGGAGGGAGAGACAAGGAGAACCGTCTCTGTGTATAAAGTGTCCGTAAAAACGCATTCAATAAGGCGCCACCCTTATTGAATGCGTTTTTACGGACACTGCGGTAACCTAGGATAAATTTATATTGGCTTAAATATTATTAGATCCTGTGTACTAGAATGCGAATAATCTTGTAATCACTTTCAGATTATGAAAATATTATAATATTTTAACTCAGCACACTTCATTCCGTCTACAACAGACCTCTATTTTCAGTATACAGCTGGACACTTTTTCAACTTTCCCTCCATTCGAGATGGTTCTCTTTACCTTTACACTCCATAATTTATTACTTGTTGTTTTAAGTTATTACAACTTATAAACATTTTTCCTGTCTACATTTGTTTTAATTCGAGTTTTTTGTAGTCTGCATTTTAATTTGACCTGTTATTATTATTTCGGGATTCATTGGTTTTAGTTTATAATTTGTAGTTTAATTTCATTCCCTTTTTTTAATGAAAGCATAATGAACGTAAGTATATTTATTTATTATATTTTATTATAATTATTACTAATATGGTATACAAATAATTGATTTATTTCGATTTAATTTAAACAATATTGGCCTCAAGAATGAAATATCGATTAATATTATGGGCCCTATATACTTACATAACACATAGTTCAAGGAGGGATTGAGCTTCCGGTAAACTAACTCACTCGGTAAAAAGCTACAGCAACGGTCTTAATACTCTGGTCGAGCCGACCTACATATTCTAAAGCATGACACTCCTACGGTCAAATTTTAATGGATCAATCTCACAATAACAACAAACCTTGTTAATATGATCGGAGGGATCGATCATCCCCTTTAGTCCCTAACATCAGCCAGAAGGTCACAGTAATCCTGCGGTTCGTACATACTTGACATCCATCTTTCAGTTCTCATGTTCCAATCATAACAGAAAGCTCCGTTCTATAAAAAATATCCCTCTGATATGCCTTGCTCATACTTCGGTGTGTATTCCTTCCTCATTCAATCTGTCCTCCTTTGGAAGTTATTTCCTAAGAAGATCAGGTATATATATATATATTTAATTTTGTAAGATTAATACTTTTCTTGTGGTATGTATATCTTTGAATGTTCATGTTTTTGATACAAATATATATTCTCATGTTATTCCTCGTTTCTTCTTTTGTAAATTTATTTCTTACACATCACATAAGACTCTCCTATA